ACATATCGAATAAGAATATAATTATTTTATAATTAATTTTGACGAAATTAAAATAATATTATCGAAATCATATATTCATTTTCAAAAATCAAAATGGCCGACAGTGTCACGTCGAGACCCACCTGGCTTCTTCTTCTTTCCACCGGCCGTCTGCGATCCCTCGGCTTCCCCTGCCATCATCTTCTGCAGCTCCCTTCGCTCGACCTCCTCCCTCTCGTGAGAGATCTACGTATACGCGAAGGAAGACAAACACAAATATATAGTAAGCTCGCGATCTTGCGAAACAGCTCTTTGCTGTTGGTATGAGACTGGAAACGAGGATAGAGGTTTATGTAGGATTAACGTTAATAAAGTTAATCCTGTATATATGGCTAGTGTCCTTTATGGACAGGTATGCGTTGCATAGGGACGGTTTCACTGCAAAGTGACCACTCACAGGAAACATAAAAAGCATCCCTTATACACAGGTGTCCATTTTATAGAGGTTACCACTAACACAGGTACATAACACAGGTAACATAGGCAGGTGACTGCAGTTGACAAAACCAGCAGACGTTAATTCAGTCAGCGCACCTGTACCGCACCTCTCGTTAACTCGGTTAACTCACCTGCACCGTGCCTCTCGTTACCTCACCTGCACCGCGTCTCTCGTTACCTCACCTGCACCGCGCCTCTCGTTAACTCACCTGCACGGTGCTCTTCTTCGTCTTCAGCATCTTCTCCATGTTCTTGGCCATCTCCTCGATGACGGAGTCGTCCGACGAGCTCTCCTCGTCCGTCGACAGTACCTCCGACGACGACATGACGCGGTTCTGAAGGTCGAACACGCGCTGGCACTCCTCCTTGTAGCGCTCCTGATGCTCCGCTATGCTGAAGCGGTTACCTCGCGCAAACTTGCTCATAGCTGTGAAGCGGACGAAGGAGACGCAATTACAGTCGAGGAGGCAACGTTTTGTGTGAAATAAAATGATGAATCATTGTCACATCTTATCACGTCACAAAATATCCCGTTTTGAACTCCCTTTGTCCGCAAGGACGTGGACGAACAAATGTAATAATGACGTACAGAGTAAAAAAAAAAGATTAACCCGTCACAAATGACGGATGCTCGGCGATACTGAAGCAATTGCCTCGCGCAAACTTGCTCATAGCTTGACGTGTGAAATAAAATAATAATAAAACTGGTGATGTGTCGAATGAAATGTGTGATGTGTGAACTCACTGCGGCGGCAAGGTGTGGACGAAGGAGACCGGTGAAAAGAACGATGACAGTGATGGTGTGATGTGTGAAAATAAATCACGATTGTGTGATTGCCTCACGCAAACTTGCTCATCGCTTGACGTGTGAAATAAAATAATAATAAAACTTGTGATGTGTCAAATAAAATGTATTGACGACGTACAGAGTAAAAAGAAAGATGAACACGTGACAAGTGACTGATGCTCCGCGATGCTGAAGCGATTGCCTCGCGCAAACTTGCTTATCGCTGTGGCGTGGATGAGCAACACAATTACAGTCAGAGAGGCGAGGTGTTGTGAAGGAGTGATGTGTGTGATAAAATATAACAACAATATAATATGAATGAATAAAAAAAAATGACGTGTGATATATAATGATGAACGATATCACGTCACGTTGTCACAAAAACTCCCTTCCACATTTATTTCCCCCTAAATTAATTTCCCTACCTAGATTGTGCTGTGATTTATTTACAGATTCATTTACAGACTTATTCAGGGCATGACCTTGTATAACCTTGTACCCTGTACCTGCGCAGCAGAAACTTTCAGGCCTGCTACTTACCGGATTCGCTGTCTCCTGCTTTCGACTGGACTGTGGACAATGTCCGTACCATGTCTATGACGTCCCAGCGAGGAAGCTTGTTGATCTGTTACCACGGAAATGATCGAAGCGAGAAACATCAGCAGCATCATCCAAGTCACTCGGCAAAGCTAACTCGACATTCGCTAATTCAATATCGACACCTACCACTTTCCTTTACCTCAGTGGTCCACTCATGCTCTTGCCGGGGTGATATCGGTCAAATGTACATGACAATAGCAAACAACATTTCCACGAAAAGCATGCATGCGGCGTCTGCTCTGCATGCGGCGTCTGCTCTGCATGCGGCGTCTGCTCTGCATGCGGCGTCTGCTCTCACCTCGTCATCCGGCACCCCAAACTTCCTCAGCAGCTGCTTGGCCGTCTTCAGGTTGAGTCGTCTCAGGTCGGCGTCCGTACCCGTCACAGTCTTCTTAGGGGGCGCCGGCGATTGCTCGTCCTGCGCGCGGTGCACGGCGGGATGTAACGTTGAAGAATTAATAAAGCTAGATACAATGAAGTGAATATTCTACTTCTTAACGTAACAGTTAATTGATTTAATACTATAAACGTTCTCCAATTCCTTCTCTATGAATCTAATTCTTAATATTAACTTAATAATATATATTCATATATTATTCTATATGATGGCTAGGAGATTTTCATACGCAGCGTATAGAGCTCGTATACCTACGAGAAATAATTTTAATGCTAACGTTTAAAAAGATTTTAATTATTTAATTAATTAGTGAGCAACACTTACAGGTTCCACTTCTTCCTGTTTCACAGCTATACCATGCTTCCCTAGCAAGATTCTCGACTTCTTAGGCTCCGTCTATAAACAACAAACTACAACATTATTCAAAAATTAAACCATTATGCCACGAAAAGCGACAAAACTGGCAAAAAAGCAATGAAAGTCCTGCGAATTCAGCAAACTGAAAATATTTCTACTTGATTACATAATCACATGAAAAACTTTTTGAAAACTTTCGATGAACGCCTGAGTAAAAGACAAATTCACCTGGCACACTTTACAATCACGTTACTACAACCAGTCATGTTCCTTGTGGAATTTCATCACCCAGAGTTAATCAATCAAAATCAACGAGAGAACGATTAATGGTTTGAACCAGCCAACCTCAACGCGAACGCAGACGGCATGTTTACATTAGAGTGTATTTGTGAGGCCAGGAGCAAAGCTAGAAAAATGCGTTGTAGTTATGTATTGTGGGTCTGACCTTCTTATCCTTGGTCGGTGATTCCGTTCCCTGCTGGTCGTTTGGATCGGGATCTTGTGGTATGTCCAAGATGATGTTCTCGTCATTTGGGTCAAGGGTCAGAATTTTTGGCGTTGGAATCCTCTCCATGTTCTTCACGGGCAAAATAATCGAGAATGGGTTAATGGATCATCGAGGAGGACCACACCTGCCACGTTTTAATACAGAGCGGCTGAAAAATACCAGTGCTGTATAAATTACAAGACGTGTCGGTGATAACTGATAACTCAACCAATGAATCAAATCACAAAACAAACCTGCAATTAGGATACTCTCACACCTCTGAACGAGTTATTGCCATCAAAGCTATTGATTCCCAATCGGTACACACAACGGGCTTACACACCAATTTACCAGGCTGCCCGATTGAATATGGAGCGGACCCAGAGTTGCGACCACGAGTCTCCCGATATGAAAAAATATTACGCGCCACGATACTGTATACGCTGTAAATTTCGCGGTGGTTTAATTTTCGCGAATTTCGCGAACGCGTCCCCGACCGCGAAAATAACAACACGCGAATAATTCGTACAGAATAATACCGAATAATTAATAATTCACAGACCGCGAAATAAAACCACTCGCGAAATTGTCAAGTCTGAATTCGCGAAAATATCTGTACGCGAAAAATATGGCGTGTACAGTACAACACATGCACGCTCTCACCTCCGCGTCCCATATGACGTCGTCCTCCCAGCGACCGTAGATGAGATCAGAGTTCTCGACGGGAAAGATCGAGTACCAGACGTTCGCTTGTTGCTGCTCCCGCTCGCCGCTGCCGCCGGAGCCGAGGGGCACCTGAGGCATCTGCTTCAGCACGACCGTCTTGTTTCCCATCGGTCCGGACTTCACGGTCAAGCTGCTCGTAGTCAGGCCGGTCGGCAGCTGCTGCAGGCCCACAGCGCCGGACTTGGCTGTCGGCGGCAATTAGATAACATAGAGATGGAGAGTGAGGAAGGGAGACAGAGAGAGAAAGCAAAAGAGAGAGACAGAGAAAGAGAGAGATAGAGGGAGAGAAAGAGAGAGGAAGGAAGACAGAGATAGGAAGAGAGATGTTAGCAGCAGCAGCTAGCTCTTCTCCGCTGCAAAAGCACGCGATTTGCACAAAGATTTTCCGTGAATAAACATATACATGTATAATCTCATACACAGGTACGTCATGTAGTGTGTGCCATGCCGACCAACTATGCTGGCCACCCAATGCTTCCATACCTCGTCGTCAATCTTCACTTGCGAATCTTCTATGTCCATGTCGTCTTCGTTGGCGAAGAGGGACTTCTCTCCGTAGCCGGCATCCTGAAACAGAAGAACAGCTGTTGCGTCAAACCTGCTGTCCGGACGCATGTCCATGAAGAATACTTTTGGGTTTCCCATCGAGTGACTCTTATATACGTGTTTGATGGTGTTTAAGTAAATAATTAAACAAGATTACACAACGTGGAAATTTTAATAGCTACAAACTATAAATAATACAATAATAAAATACAATAGCTATAAATAAACAAGTAAATAAATAAATATATATATACATACATATATATACATATAATATATACTATAATATAATAAATTTGCGGAATAAAACAAAAAGATAGAACGTATAAACAAGTGAGCAGCAAGCGTCTGCTGACCTTGAGCCGTTGCTCGGCTGCCAGCATGCTGTACCAGGCACAGCACTGCTCTGGTGACACCATTGCTCGGATCTCCTCCTCCGTCGGCAGACGCCACTCTGGCTTCACCACCCACCAGTTAGAGTCCATACCTACAGCAGCACACAGCGAGAGATTAAGAAGTGGGGCGGCCATGTTTGGTTTAGGTTCGATTGCAGTGCTGACAGAAATATGTCGGTACTGTCAAAATCTAGTAACAATTGGATTTACATGTAGGATGGTACTTTAGATATTTAAAAGGAAAGCGAAACTAGCAAGTCTAGTGCTGTATGCATCTACAATGACCGTGTTAGGGATTCACTTCTTGTAGTTAATTTGTGGTAAGTTTTTTCTTATGGTGCCTAACTTTGCATGATTTCCCCTCAATCTAAATGGAATAAAGAATTTGTAACAGCTCCCCTTTTCTAATTTTCCATTCACAGAATTTTGCAGTGACAACGACAAATTTTCATCGGCTAGGTACTAAGGTGAACTACAAGCTTACCGGTTCGTTTAAAGTCAGCGCAGAGCTTTAAGCGTTTTCTGATGCTGCTTTCTGAGTGAGAAGGAAAGGCCTTCTTGATGTCGTCCATCTTGATTCTGCGGGGGACGTCTTTACTTTTCCAGAACAGCCGATAGATGAACACCTGGGAGAGGGCAATCGATCATGAGACAATGTATGACATAACAAGCAAATGCTTCTTCACTGATACTACATAGTACATGGTAGAGTTGCTAAGATATGCTAAAAATCTATTTTTAATACCTATTATACCTATATTAACACAATCTAACTATTAAAAACCAAACTAACATCAGGGGATAGATTTATGAAACCTACATCTAACACATTTTAAACAGTAATATTGAACATTGCATTGTTACGTTCTATCAACTACATACAAAGTTCATATCATGGTATTTATTAGATTTAGGTTCTTAGTTAATTAATGTACTATTACTGAATTAATGTAAAATGAACGTAATTACTGAATTATTGTTAATGTACGTTTTACTACTGCTTTTTAATTATATAGAGATAGAGTCACCAGGACACAATCATAAGCTCACTACACAAGCTCATCATCTTACTCCCGATGAACTCACTCACCTGCAGGAAGTCACGAATGAAATTATTCGCCTTCTTCGAGTTTGGTCCGGGCACCTCGAGCAACGGAGCCAGCTGCCCCAGCGTGAAGATCGTGTTCACCTCACGAATGTAGTAGCTGTAATACGAAACACGCAAAAATGTAGTAGCTGTAACATGAAACATGCACAAATGTAGCAGCTGTAGCATGTAACATAACGTGCAACATGTAACGTGAGAAATGCAGCAGCTGTAACATGTAACGTGAGAAATCAAGGCACGTAACCGTAACGGGACGAAATGTAGCACTGAAGCATCGCGTAACATGGAGAAATGCCAGGGCAGCTGAACCAGTAACGTGAGAAGTTTGTGATGTAGGGGCACGCTGTAACATAGTAACAGAGAAAAGGCAGCAGCGTAACATGGAACGGAGACATGCAGGGGCAGCTGCATATGAAGCGTGAGAATGTGCAGCTGTAACATGTAACGCTGAGAAATGGAGGCAAGCTGTAACAGTAAACATGAAAAATCGCAGCAGCCGGTAAGCACTGTGAGCGTGAGAAACGTAGCAGCGTAACATGTGAGGAGAAATGCAGGCAGCCTGTAAGCCATGTGACGTGAACAATGCACAGCTGTAACAGTAACAATGAGAAAATGCAGCAGCGTACAGTGACCGGGAGAAAATGTAGCAGCGGAACATGTGCCAGTGAGCCAAGCAGCAGGCGGTAAGCATGTAACGTGAGAGATGTTCAGCAGGCTGTAACATGTAATCAGAAAATGGACAGCTGTAACATGTAACGTGAGAAATGCAGCAGCTGTAACATGTAACGTGAGAAATGCAGCAGCTGTAACATGTAACGTGAGAAATGTAGCAGCTGCAACACATAATGCGCGAAATGTAGCTGATGAGCGAAATGCAGCAGCTGTAACATGTACAGGGTTTCTTATACATAAGAGGCCCAGTGGCGCACCGCCATTGTCAAATTAAACATCGCTGTTGTGAAAATGCTCCTGTATTTACCCGCCATTGTCAAAATAGTGTCAACCCAAAAATGAATAGATCCCCACGTGCTTCTGGCATATTTAGATTGCCATGTGCGTTTATTAAGTCATGTGTCACTTGGTCATGCATGCCTAAGGCACGCCTTTGAATCCATCATGCACGTTTTTTTTCATACCAAACTGGCCATTAGGCCTACCTCCTTTGTCTAATTTTCCCTCAGAAGAAACCCTGATGTAACCCGCGAAATGTAGCCGTTGCCGCGAGCAACCGCATCACATCAGTAACATCAGTGTCATCACAATCTCTGTTCGCCTTAACCGCACTACAGTCATCACACTGCCAGCGACAACTTTGTCCACTCGTTCACGGGAGCCACCCGGTTTCGTGAGTCACGCACACCGTCGTGTGTAATGGCCAACACGGGTCACTTACTGTTGCCTGGTGCGTATGATGAGAAAGTCCGTCTGCGGCATCTCGTGTGGATAGATCGGAGCTCGGAACATGTTGTTCTCTGTCGCCTGAGCAGTGAGAAACGCAACGCATCATATAATACGCGTCCGACGTTAAATACCATAAATTAGCAACATAGGAATTAGGAATAACATAACATACAAATAACAAAAAAATTTATATATAAAATAAAATAAAATGAAATGATATAGCATTAAACGGGCTCCCAAATTACATACAGAGAGCTAGATGCGATCTCAGGCACTTTGAAGGCATCAATTCATAAGTGAAACGAACATGCACCTCACATGAGCAAACTGTAGATACATGCTGTCATATTCCTACGTATTCCTGTCATATTCCTGTCATATTCTTACATTAAAGATGAGCATACAAATCTGTAGCATACCTGCAGGCACTGGCCAGGAGCAAGAGAACCGAGGAAGGGTGATGTGTGAGCGTATGACAGCTCACCGTACGGTAGCTCAGGGGCTCCCGAATCTTTGCCTGGTTTCTGAAAGGCGACCACAAAAACCAGAGATCACACACAAGAGAACGAATACTTATGTAGAGACGTGCAAACCATAGAAAATATTTATAATGAATCAGGATGTACTCATGGGTGTTACAGAGATGCCAACACATATTTGAAGCAATCTGTAGTTTCTGGCCATCAAATTAGGAGTTCGAGGATCACGCATGCCCCCCGGAAAATGGTTTGATTCTGAGATGCAATTTCCTGCATTCTGAGGGTAAAAATTTTTTTTTTTACGATCACAGTGAAATTCGTAGTTTGATACAAACTGGTCGTAGTGGTGCAAAAGAAATTGAAATTCGTATAAAATACGGATAAATCGTAGTGGTTGGCATCTCGGGTGTTACATTACATTTCACTCACAACACACCTTAAAATAATCTACCCCACATCTTTCATTCACTATAATTTTACTCAAATTGTTACCAATAAAATTTAATGATAAATTTCAGAAGAACGCCACTGCAATTACTGCATAGAATTCATGGCCTAGCGTAGATTTGTGTTGCACGTCAGCAATGACACATTCAAACAACCGTTCCCCATATCCCACGCACTCACGCGCGACTTACCGTTACCGGAAACTTTTGAGCAACTGCACTCACTGCACCCCGTCCCCCGTGCCCACACCACTGTCCCCCACGCCACCCCTGTGCCTCCACCCGCACCCTGCCCCCACGCGCTTGTAATAGTTCTTAATCTTCGACGCCATGCCCCCCCCCTCACGCCCGCACCCTGCCCCCACACACCCCGCCTCCACGCGTGCACTCACGCGCTTGTAGTAGTTCTTGATCTTCGTCGCCATGCCCCCCCTCACGCCCGCACCCTGCCCCCCCACACCCCGCCTCCACGCGTGCACTCACGCGCTTGTAGTAGTTCTTGATCTTCGTCGCCATGCCTGCGTTCATCATCGCCGGCGCGTGTTCCTCGGAATACTCGAAGAACACGAGCTCGCCGTCCATGCCCGTGAGGTCCTGTGGCGTGCGCATGAAGAACATCTCTCCGCCGCCGGACGCCTGCCGTTCCTGCTCCCTCACCTGCAACAAGAAGAGACATGGGGAGGATTACCAGTCAGGCCATCCTTAAAAAATCATATGTTTGCTGTCCTTCGACCGACCCACGAAAATAGCCGCGACCCAAAAGTTTTTTTTTGACATTTTGAGTTCCATATTTTATTATATTTTTTTTACATTTTTCATAGTTAAGACTGAAACACAAAGCATGTGTGGCAAACATGAGAACAGACTTAAACTAACTATTATGCCTCACACAAAAAAATGGCCTCAGGGGGAGGATTGGCTGCTGCTGTTTATGCTGACGATAGTACAAGAATCTCACTCTGCAACAGGTGACAACTGCCCCGAGAGACCACACGGGGGAGGATTAGCCTGACCTGTTTATGCTAGGTGTTTGCGGTGATGGTTAGTTTGCTCTGTGTCATATCGTTTGTCTCCTGTCTCTCTCACGCGCCCACTTTCTCTCTCTCTCTCTCTCTCTCTCACACACTCATTCATTTTGTCTCCCTTTCTCTCATGATTAACCTGCTGTCTCGTTGTCTCTTTTTCTCTATCTCTCTCTCTCTCTCTCTCTCTCTCTCTGTCTGTCTTGTGCAAACGTTCGTACACCCCTTCCTGCTATTCTCTCTCTCCCTCTCCCATCCTCCTCTCTCTCTCTCACTCTCTCTTCATCATCCCCTCCCTCTCTCCATCAGCTCCCCCTCCATGCTCACCCGTGCTTTCTTCTTGATCTGTTTCAACAGCGGATGCACGGGATGCGGTCCCGGCTGAGCCATCATGCCGTGAGAGTACTTCTTCAGGGGTTGCCGGTGCCAGTTGCGGAGTCGCATCGGGCCGAGGTGCGTGACGAAGAAAGGCTGCCTCAGCTCGATCGCCGGCGTAGAGTGCTGCAATCAAACACAAGTACATCTCAGTGTCCGTGGCACCACCTAGTGCACAAAACTTCAACTATCTATCTCTCTCTTCCTCCCCCTCTCTCGCTCTTTCTCCCTCCCTCCCTCCTTCTCTCTCCCTCTCTCTCTCCCTCCCTCCCTCTCTCTCTCTCCCTCCCTTCCTCCCTCTTCCTCACCTGCAGCATGCCGCCTCCGCCCACGTTGTGCCTCAGCGCGTTGTCCAGCGTTAGCTTCGGGTTGTAGTACTCGTCGTTAGACATGTTGAACGGATCCTTCTCGACGACCTCAGGCATTGGAGGCTGCGAGAACAAACAAACACCTGCTGTCAAGCACCGGAGAGTGGTTGACACACGCAAACAAACGCCTGCTGTCAAGCGCCGGAGAGTGGTTGACACAAACAAACAAACACCTGCTGTCAAGCGCCGGAGAGTGGTTGACACAAACAAACAAACACCTGCTGTCAAGCGCCGGAGAGTGGTTGACACAAACAACACCGTGCTGTCAATCGCGCGAGATGTGGTTGCACAACACAAAACAGAACTCACTGCTTGTCACAGCGCCGCGGAGAGTGGTTTCCGAACCACAAAAACAAACAAACACCATCGCTGTCAAAATCGCCCCGAAAGAGTGGTTGAACAACAAACAAACGAAATGCCTGCTGTAAGCACCGCCGCGAACCAGTAGACCCTGACGCAAAACCTAAACAAACACGCGTCAGACAATTGGTTGCCGACCTTGGACTAGTAGGCTTACGTGTGTGGTGAGGCACAGTGACTCCCTTTCTCATTAATTACGTGTTAAATGTTAATACACGCTCGATTTTTCTCACTTATGGGATTTCTCCCGTATTCTCTTATTCTCTCTGCCCCTTATCTTTCTTTATATCTCTCTCTTTCCCCTCCTTATCTCTCTTCTAAGACACAAGCAGATATATCTGCTCTTCTCCTTCTCCTCTCTCTCGGCGTCTCTCGTCCGCTCCTCTCTCGCTTCCCTCTCTCTCGCTCTCTGCTCTCTCTCTCTCTCCTCTCTGCTCTCTCTCATCCTCTCTTCTCCTCTCTCTCTCTTCTCTCCAGCTCTCGGTCTTCTCGCCTCTCCTCTCTCTCTCTCTCTCTCTCTCTCTCCTCCTCTTCCGCTAGTGTTTTTCTTCTTTAACCTAAAATCTCGTCTCCATTATCGCGCTCTACATACTGGACATCTCTCATACTTCTCGTCTCATCTCTCTCTCTCTCTCTCTCTCATCTCATCTCTACTCTCATCTATTTAGTCGCTTTTTCCTCTCCCCCTGCATCTCTGTTGTTGGTCTCCATGTAATTAGAGAATACCATGTAATAGCTCAAATTTTAAAGAATTTCAAGCTGACAAGAAACAACTTACGGTTCCACTCAGAGCAACCTTAACACAGCTTCTGTTTTACACAAGCAAATATACCATGCTATACCTAGCAAGATTCTCGACATTCATTAGGTCCGAAATATTATAACAACAAACCACACTATTTATTTATCAATGATTCAAAAATGGAAACCATATATAGCACGAATAAGCAGACAAAACTGAAAGCAAAAAAAAGCAATAAGAAAAGTGCCTGCAGAAATTCAGAACCAACACTGAACAAATAATTTCTACTTAAGAATTACATAAATTCACATGAAACAAAACGTTTTAGAAAAAACTTTCGATGAAGCTAGACGTAAAGGAAACGAAAATATCAACCTGGCACACTGTACATTCACGATATAAAACCCAGTCCGATTCCTTGGGTGGAAATTTCGATCACAACGCAAAGTTAATCAATACAAATCAACGCAAAGAAAACAAGATATAATAGGATTATGACAGCACCTTCAACAAGCGAAGCCGCACAGGAGGCACAATGTTTCAACAATATAGAGTGATTTGATAGAGGCCAGGGCAAAAAGCTAGAGAAAAATGCGTCTGTAGATTGGTGTAAATTGATGAGGTACTGACCATTTCTAATATCCTTGGTCGGTTATTGATATAACGTATAACCTAGCTGGATCAGTAAAATTGGAAATCGAGGAAATCTTGTGGCTATAGTCCAGATGATGTTCTCATTCATTCGAGGTCAAGAAGACGTCAGAATTTTTTGGCCTGTTGGAATCCTCAATCATGTTCTTTCACGAAGCAAAATATCGAGAATGCGCTAGTTAATAACTGGCAGTGGTGGGCAACAACTATTTCATAAAAGTGAGGGCAAGCACTCAGGTGGCACATAGAAAAGTTCGAAAGGGCGCACCTTTATAAAAATCGGGGGCGGTAGCCGCTCTAAACGATATACGATGCGTATTCGCCCTCAAAGGGCGCCCAATTATCTGGACCCTGAAATTAAGACTGAAATGGACAATTGCGAGGAAGAACGACGCAGAAAGGCACACAAGAAAACACTATCTGGTATGACACTGAAAAAGGTCAGCCCTACTGGTGTCAAGCACAACATGATTGATATTCACAAACATTTAACTTGATTAAAAAAAACAAAAAAAAATCTTAATTATTATTTTATAGGCAATGATTTCATATTTTATATTTATTATTTTGCTGACAGCATATCCGCGGGCCGCACAAGAAAACCACAACGTAGGAGGGCCGCATGCGGCCGCGCGACAGGCCGCAGATATTGCCCAACCCATGAGGTCCGTTAATGGATCATCGAGGCAGAGAGACCACAACTAGACCCCACGTTTAATAATACAGAGGCGGACTTGAAAAAATACCAGCGTGACTGCTAATAAATTTAAAAGAACAGTGATAACTGAATCGAACTAAACCAACTTGAACAATCAATATATCAGCAAAACAAAAACACCCGAGCAAATATAGAGATTACTACTTCACACCCGCCTGAACGAGTTATTCACATCAAAGCTATCGATCACACACCGAGTAACGACACACCTAGGCTTAACACACCAATGTTACCAAGAAGGAATGCCAATCAAAATTAGGAGCGGACCCAGAGTTCGAGCCAAGAGGTCTCCCGATACGAAAAAAACTAATTCAAGACCAGCCACGAAATACTGTATACCGCTGTAAAATTCGCGGTGGTTTAATTTTAAGCGAAATTCGCGAAACGCGCTCCGAACGCGAAATACAACAACGCGCGAAGTAATTTCGATACAGAATAATACAACCCGAATATTATATTCACCGAGCGCGAATAAAACCACTCGCGAACAAATTGTCAAGTCTGAAATTTCGGCAAAAATAATCTGTTACGCGAAATATGGCGTGAATTACAGTACAACAACCAGCACGCTCTACACCGTACAAGCGTACATATGACATCGTCCTCACCAGCGAACCAGGTAGATGAAAGATCAAGGACAGTTCTCGACGGAAAGAATCGAAGATACCAAGAAACGTATCGCATTGTAGCTGCTCCCGACTGCCGATGCCGCCGAAGACCGAAGGGGGACCACCTGAGGGACATTGATTCAGGCAACGAATCGTCGTTGTTTTCCATTAAGAGTCCAGGACTTCAAACCGGTCAAAGCTGAATCGAATAGATCAGGACGGTCAAGGAGCTGACCTAGCAGGCCCAACAAGACGCACGGAACTTGGCTGTCGGCCAGGCAATATAGATAACATAGATAAAGCGGTGCCACGCTATTTGCTGTACGTTACAACTCGCATGCGTGCCGATGCGTGCCGATGCGTAGCAGGTGACAAGAATGAAACGATGTTGCGTTGATTGAATGTGTGTTGACATGAAATAAGCGGAGTATGACAATGCAATGACATGTGATATATAATAAATAATGATATTGAAATCTTTTCTTTTAATAAATATATATAGTAAACTAAATATACATATAAAATTTATTGTATTTAAATTACTCAAACAAACAAAAATATTATATGCATATTAAATATATATCTGATATTATATATTTTATGTACATTATATGTCCGACGTTGTACTTACCCTGTTGAGCGAGGGGCAGTTCTCTTGTTGTGCTGCTAGGTATCCAGCCAGCTGCCTTTGCCCTTGTACTAGTACTCGTTTGAGCCTTGAATCAAACATGTTTACAGACTTTTTCGAACTTTATCCAAAATCAAGGTGCGACTATAATCGTTTCGAACCTTTTCAGGTATCTCTAATTTCTCATTGCAATTTGACCTTTGATTTTGCACATTAAACCTTTGATTTTGCCACATTCGTGTGCGGAAGGCATCACAGCCATGGATGGAAACTAAGCCTATCATGAATGCAAATTCTAAAAATGCAACAGATTCGGCCAACTAGGTTGCTTATCAATAAATAATGCCTGAAGTAGAATGAATTCGGTGGTGCTGAGTAAGCAATGCTCTGATTGGGGACCCCGGTGTCTTACCTTTGTTCGCAGTGGTTCAGCATCCCAAATGACATCATCTTCCCAATGAAGCTGAGTGACCATCTCGTATCGATCGGTCGGGTACATATCCACAAACTCCTCATCCTCAGCCTCTTCTTTATTCTTATCTTCTTCCTCCTCCTCCTCCTGCTCCTCCTCTTCCTCCTCCTCATCTACACCTTTATCTTCACCGTCTTCTTTCCTCTTCTTCTTCTGCAACATAGTCAACACATGCTATTAGTGGTACATTTTAACTCCAAATAAGTCCAAGAGTGGACTATCACAAACACGCATTCATGCGTTGACAGATTCCCTATTACGTCTAAACTACATACACGTGTTCTACCGGTGGACAGACAGAGCATCTAATAGTAACAGCATACCGATTTTTACTACTAAAACAACACGTTTTCTCCCAAACATCTTAAAAAAGCCTCTCATCTTCTTCTTCTTCTTCTTCTTCTTCTTCTTCAGCTTGGTGCAAGGCACGTTATTTTCACCGGCTTGATACGAATGTTAGTGACGTACATGCCGACCACACACGTCATGAAAACGAACCTCACACGAACGCAAAGCTAGCACTTACTTGTGTTAACTTTAAAACTGTTTTTGCTAAACACAAATCTAAACAAGAGCAAACTTCCGCCACAGCGTAACAGTCCCGCCATCTTGCTGGTACACCCCATATCGTTGTTTCTACTCTCTATGACTATTGTTGTTTGACTCTGCATTGACACCATGCACGGCGCACAGGGGTCGAAATAAGCGATGGTCCAATGGTCCGGGGCCATCAAATAATCAGGAGGACCATCAGATTTTCAAAGTCAAAGGTCCGACGGACCATTGCATATTTTGGTCCCATTTACAATAAACAATTACTGTATCGTTTGATACATTCATTGTAGGTGAATAATTAAACCATGTTATCACCATGTAAAATCTCTTTCTTACGCTTGCACACCGCATTACTTTTAGAGAACAATTTTAAATTTAGGAGGACCATCTGAAATTTAGGAGGACCATCTAAATTTCAAACTAGATGGTCCTGTGGACCATCTCTTTTTTTCTCCTCATTTCTACCCCTGGCGCATATATCTATATATAGCTATCGATCTAATTTGTAGTCCGGTTTAAGGCGGCGGTGACACATCATAAACCCCTACATAGAGAGCGAGCGAATGATGAGAAATCCTTCAAAAAATTCCTGGATCCAGATCTGGATCCGGATCACCACCAAAATCGAATCGATTGGTTGTTGGCCCAAGACCAACCCGTCCAAAAAATTTCATCAAAATCCGTCCGTATGTTTTTGAGATATCCTGTTGACAGACAAACCAACAAACCAACAAACAAACAGCGGCAAAAACATAACATCCTTGGCAGAGGTAAAAAAGCCCCTCTCACCCAAACTCCACGACAGATGGCGCTCTCGCTCTGGCTCAATTCACCACTGCCACAAGTCGATTTCCGTAGGGATTTCTAACGCTTTTTTACCACAAGTTTTACAGCAGCCAGGTTACTCTTATCCTATGTAATAAGATTTGTACTAATAAAAGTCGCTTAAAGATATTAAAAATCCGACCATTATTTTATGAAAAAATTGATAAAATAGTGATACGAAATAGTGCGCGGATTGTGTGCCCATTTACTACTCTCAAATCATACGCGAGTATTGGCCTGCCATTCGCTGGATTAACCCGGAGCTCCGCCCACTTGAAAAATAGTACCAGCCTTGTGGCAGTGGTATCCTGAGTTGTATGAAGGGGGCGCTGCATGCAGTTTGCCTCTCACCTTCTTCTTCTTCAGCTTGAAGCCGTAATCGAATCCGTCGCCATCCTCTGACACGCCCATCATGTCGTACCACAGCTGCGCGGGTCCGTATCGCCACGGCGCCACCTTCGGCAGACGATCCTGCTTAGCGATGCTGTGCTCCTCCTCCTGCACCTCCTTCTTCTCCGGCTCCATCATGTGAATCTGCGCGATCAACGCGAGCGAGCGTCCGTTTAGTTACAACCGTTACCGTACATGCACGCGAATGTAAATTAGGAGCGTGGAAACAGTAACGGACTGTATTTGCATCTATATTATCAAGAGCTAATAATACCTTATAGCTTAGGTAATTTAATTATTACCTAAATTAATTTAATTATTTTATTGTAAGCTAGTTTAATTTAATTTAATAATACCTTATAATTAGCTCTAGGTATTACTACCTAATAGGTATTATTAGCTCTTGATATTATGTCTACTCAGATTTTATTGCCACTAGGAGATATAAATAATTGTAATAAAATTGTGCATGTTCGTACAGACTATTGTATACGCCATATTTTTCGCGTATTCAGACTTGACGGACAATTTCGCGAGTGGTTAATTTCGCGGTCGATGAATTATGCATTAATCGGTATTATTCAGTATGAATTATTCGCGTATTATTATTTCGTGGTCGGGGACGCGTTCGCGAAATTCGTGAAAATTAAACCACCGCGAAATATACAGCGTATACAGTAATCTGCGTTTTGGTAGCTGCTCGCGGAGAAACACTGTAAATCTCGCGCGACAAGTAACTGTAAACGTAAGCATGCAGCATACACACACACACACACACGCACACACACACACACACACGCACACACACGCACACACACGCACGCACACACGCACGCACACGCACATGCACACACACTCACACACGCACACACGCACACACATGCACACGCACACTCACGCTCAACCCACGCACACACACACACACACA